GTCTTTTGTAATTCATGAAAATCTTTAATAAAATTTATTTTTTTTACAAAAACCAAACCAAATCTAATCCACCGCCATTTTGTTTCCACCAGCAGCCAGATATTTATTTTTCAAAAAACTACATCCCCTGCAATAAACAAAATTAATAGGTAGCATAGTTCCCATAAGCATATACTTGTTCATGCAACCAGCTTTGTCCATAAGTATTTAAAACATATTGGCCCATGGGACGGGACGACAATGACTGACAAGCAAATTTCCTGCACATGCCTGTGTCACCAGGTGGCTGGCATGGCTCAGAAAACCAACTGAACTGAAGAGAGAGGGACTATATGCGCACAAGTTGAGTGAGCAAGCCATTTAACCACAATGCTGAATGAAGGCGTGTACTTACCTGGTACTTTCACGCTCCCAGCCTCCGGCATACTGTGATCTATATTAAGCACTAAGTGTGTTTCAAAACAGTGGAGGAGGTTGGACTAGAAAATATTACAGGTCTTCCTAGTCTCCCAAGCTTACAAGTGCATTTAGAAGACAGTAAAACCTTAATTGCAGCGGTAGGAGATCATATAAGGTATGGGCAGTGGAAGGCACCCAAGTGTGTTCAAATGGCTTGCATTAAAATACCGTGAACACCAGTGTTGTTAATTAATTGTTCTTCCAGCCCAACCTTCAGCAAATGGTCCCAGGGGAGTTACAAAAGGACCACAATTAAAGATCTTAAAATCACCTGGGAAGTTTACCTAAAAATGTCAGTAAGAACCTCAGGATAAATACATTCGGAACACACACTGATTAATGTGACAAACTTTGATCTAGAATCCCCCCAAAAAGAGAAGTTTCAGGAAGAATGAAAAGGGTTATGCCTAAAAGCATAACAAAATAAGTGCCAGTACAGATGTAAGAACACAACAATTTCCATTCCCACCAGTATTGGTCTCAATCAGTACTTTTCTGTTGTGCTTTGGTTTCTGCCAAATACTACATGATTTGACTTACTATCTGCTATTCAACATAAGTTACATAAGTATTTGTGTACTATATTCGTTTCAGTGTAAAGGAAATGTAAAAACAATGCTACAAAGTCATTTATTATGAATTGTTTGCCGTTTTTAAACAACAACTACATGAATGAATACCGATTGTATTATCTTGGCTGATTACCATTTCTGACCGCAGATGAACATGCAAACTTGAAACAACTTCCATTTCCTTTTCTGTTTTCTCCAGAATTCTCTGACATCCCAAAGTGCCAGGCAGGCAACTCTGGAGGAAAAGCTCCACAAACTACGGCCAAAACCATTATCTCCCTGACCATAACCTGCCTCACCTCCAGTGGCAGAGGCACCTAAAGAGATTCAGCAGAGGACCTTAGCATCTGGGCAGACAGATATGGAGATGTTTGTTCTGTTAGGTGCCTGGACCCCAAGCTGTTTAGGGTCTTAAAGATCAGCGTGTGGGAACTGGGCTTGGAATTGAACTGGTGGCTACACAAGTTATCGTAATACTTAAAGGCAACCAGTGCAGCATACAACCCAAAGTAAGGTTACCAGACGACCCCGTTTCCTGGGGACAGTCCCCAGATTTATAAATCAGTCCCCATACAAAATCCATTGAAGTTGAAAAGTGTCCCCGGATTCACTGAAAAAAATCTGGTAACCTTAACCCAAAGCACAACAACGAACAACCTTACACAATTTGAAAATCTATCAATTAAAAATGCATGTGCTAAAACAACTTGAAATCACAATATAATTGCATCAGAAAATTGTACTCTAAAAGTTTTCTTAAAATAAAAAAAAACCACCACTGGAAAAATGAGTCCATAATTGAAGATGAAAGACTTTCCAATACCGTCTCCTAAAAATTAGCATAGTTTCAGTATTGCTTCACATAGATAATATGTTGATGTGTTTTCATTTTATACGGATCTCCCATGAGTAAGCAATATCCAAAGCATGGACCAACCTACCATCTGGCAGGGCCAGCCCTATCATTAGGCAGAGTGAAGCAACCACCTCAGGTGACAGATTTTTGGGGGGGGGGGTAGGGAAGCAGCCCTCCTGGCCATTTCCTGTGAGCCTCTTAGTTATTTCCCTCTGTTGGAGATCAGAGTTGCATATGCCACACAGACTGCACCCCCTAAACCACAGGGACTCCTCAGTTCCACTAAGGTGCAATGGAGGATGCTACCCATTGCCAGAGTTGAAGGAAGGCTCAGTGGCCAGTCCATTCGGCTCCCGCACATAGAACTGTGGCAGCACCATTTTGTGCTTTGCCCCAGGCATCAAAATGGCTTGGGCCTGCCACGTGCATTTTGAGAAGTAGGCATAAAGATATTATGCTCTCCTTGCAGACTCATAATACAGTGGTACCTCGGGTTACAGACGCTTCAGGTTACAGACTCCGCTAACCCAGAAATAGTACCTCAGGTTAAGAACTTTGCTTCAGGATGAGAACAGAAATCGTGTGGTGGTGGCGCAGCAGCAGCAGCAGGAGGCCCCATTAGCTAAAATGGTGCTTCAGGTTAAGAACAGTTTGAGGTTAAGAACGGACCTCCAGAATGAATTAAGTTCTTAACCCGAGGTACCACTGTACCTGGGCACTATGGGATCGTTGGACTTTGAATTTTTCAACCATGCTTTTAATTAATGTATGTTAAATGTGTTGGTGGGACGCGGGTGGCGCTGTGGGTAAAAGCCTCAGCACCTAGGGCTTGCTGATCGAAAGGTCGGCGGTTCGAATCCCCGCGGCGAGGTGTGCTCCCACTGCTCGGTCCCAGCGCCTGCCAACCTAGCAGTTCGAAAGCACCCCCAGGTGCAAGTAGATAAATAGGGACCGCTTACCAGCGGGAAGGTAAACGGCGTTTCCGTGTGCTGCGCTGGCTCGCCAGATGCAGCTTTGTCACGCTGGCCACGTGACCCGGACGTGTCTCCGGACAGTGCTGGCCCCCGGCCTCTTGAGTGAGATGGGCGCACAACCCCAGAGTCTGTCAAGACTGGCCCGTATGGGCAGGGGTACCTTTACCTTTACCTTAAATGTGTTGGTAGACGTTTATATAACCAAGCTGAGTTTTGTAATATTCCATACTGACAATGATAAATCAGATTACATAGATAGATATAATGCATCATACACTGTTTATGGCATCAATTGACATATTTGTTATGCTCTCTTTAGTTTTTTTTTATCCCCTCCCTGCCCTGCCTTTTTGCTGCTGTTTGTCTACTGTTACGGTCACTATGTCCACCAACTGTATTTTAGCATCTTCCATGCCACCAAAGTGAGAGAGAAAATTATAATGCTGTGCAAATCAAAGCTTATTAATAACTAGCTGTGACATGTTAAATAGAGAGTACTTTATTCGTATTTTCCAAAGTTAAAGAAAGCTATATTTTGAGTTTGTATTGAGGGCTTTGCATCTTTTTAAGCCAACATATACAAAACAAAATAGTATTTTCAGTGCACCTCCAGGATCTTAAAAATACTGTGAAAAAGAATGGGATTGATAGCATCAAGGTTTTTTTTTTTTTTTTTGGTTTTTTTACATGGAGGGTAATCTAATTGCGAATACACATGGTTAGGAGATTTGTTGATAATGTTATCTGGAGGTAGGATAGTTCAAGGATCAGCCTGTGATTTTCCATACAAAACAAGAGTGAAAATAAGCAGCATGTTATTTAAAATTAAAAGCCCAGTGAACATGTGCCACTTACTGCGACCATTATGTACGTCTAACCTAATCAGCAACACAATCAAATTCAAGCCATCTTGCTTAACTGTGACAAAATTGCATTTACAGAAACTACTTCAGAACCTCTTAAAAATATGACCTTCAGACTTCCTTTTATCTCAGGCAACAAATGTTTGTCGAGACGCCAAGTGCACAAATTGTACATTCTAGAACACTTAAAAATGAAGCACTATTGGGTCCTTTTATGTGACAATCCTCATGTTCATTCGACTGGATGGCCTTTTGCTTTCGCAAAAACTGAACTAGCTGACTTGGAGCTTGCATGTAGGCAAAGACCTTGTGCTCTTAATGAGGACAGGTGTAACCCTGGGCTGGATTAATCACAACGTTAGGTAAGCTCCTCCACAGCAACGTTTCCGTTCCAAACTGGGGCTCTGGCTGCAGCACAAATAAGCGAGACTTTCCCAAGAGGTGTCCATACTTATCTTTACATGGGTCGCTTTTGAAATACCCTGAAGCTCAGAAGACTACAGCTTCTCTCACCTCTCCAGAGGAGCAGTGGGCCAGTTCCTAACACCATGCATCTCCACCCGCTCTTCTTATAAACCTCAGCTGGAACCATTCCAGATTCTGTTATACTAGAATTACTAGAAAACTGTGAGGTCACAGCCACACCATACATTTAGAGCACTCTTATACCATGTGGGTGGCGCTGTGGGTTAAACCACAGAGCCTAGGACTTGCCGATCAGAAGGTCAGCAGTTCGAATCCCCGCGACGGGGTGAGCTCCCGTTGCTCGGTCCCTGCTCCTGCCAACCTAGCAGTCTGAAAGTACATCAGAGTGCAAGTAGATAAATAGGTACCACTCCGGCGGGAAGGTAAACGGCGTTTCCGTGCGTTGCTCTGGTTCGCCAGAAGCGGCTTAGTCATCCTAGCCACATGACCCAGAAGCTGTACGGCGGCTCCCTCAGCCAATAAAGCGAGATGAGTGCCGCAACCCCAGAGTCGTTCACGACTGGGCCTAACGGTCAGGGGTACCTTTACCTTTACCTTTATACCACTTTAATGTTCAAAGAACCTGAAGAACTGTAGCTTGGTAAGAGCGATGACCTCACAGCGTCACAGACCTACAGTTCCCAACACCCTACCAAGCTACAGTTCCCAGGATTCTCCATGGGTGCGTAAGAGTACTTTAAATTTTTGGTGTGGAGGATGTGACCCAAGTTACAAGCTAACCGTTAAACACCTCTCAACGATTGCCAACCCCCAGAGGAGGGGTGCCAATCCTCCTGCCCCTTCTCCTTACCTGTCGCTGCACTTCCCAAACTCCCCTGGGCTCGATTCCAGGAACCTGTTCTGCTCCCTGTAACATGCAAGGAGAAGCCCATTTAGTCCTGCCCTGTGTATCCCCTCCCCAATATCTCATGATGCTTAAGCACTCTTTCTATAAAGCACCAACGCCTTTACCAAAGGTGTCATGGGCTTTGAAGACACTCGAACTCAGGACGAAAGGGAGAAACGAGCTAAGAGGAAGGCACGTTTGGCAAACGCTCACCATGATCAACTCCCACCCGGAAACCTCTTTCCCCACTGTGGAAGGACATGTGGATCCAGAATTGTCCTCCACAGTCACTTACGGACTCACTGTTAAAACTGTGTTTATGGAAGACAATCTTACTCAGCTACGAGTGATCGTCAAAGAAGAAGGAGGTAACGTACCAGTCTTTAAAGGCAGGGTGCATATCCTCCAACATTTCTCTGATGAAAATAGGGATGTCCCATTCCATAATGGTAATTTTACTATTTATAGCCCACACATCTTACTGGGTTGCCCCAGCCACTTTGGACAGCTTCCAACATATATAAAAACATAATGAAAAATTAAACATTAAAAAAAAAAATTAGGATTGCCTTCAGACGGCTCGGGTAACTCCATACCCTCCAACATTTCTCTGATGAAAATAGGGTCATCCTAAGGAAAAGTGGGACGTTCCGGGATCAAATCAGAAACCAGGATGACTTCTCTAAATAAAATAATAATAATAATAATAATAATAATAATAATAATAATAATAATAATAATTTATTATTTATACCCCGCCCATCTGGCTGGGCTTCCTCAGCCACAAAAAAATATTAAAATACCGTAATACATCAAACATTAAAAGCTTCCCTAAACAGGACTGCCTTCAGATGTCTTCTAAATGTCAGGTAGGTGTTTTTCTCTTTGACATCTGGTGGGAAGGCGTTCCACAGGGAGGGCGCCACTACCGAGAAGGCCCTCTGCCTGGTTCCCTGTAACTTGGCTTCTCGCAGTGAGGGAACCGCCAGAAGGCCCTCGGTGCTGGACCTCAGTATCGAGGCAGAACAATGGAGGTAGAGACACTCCTTCAAATAAATCAGGGACATCCCTGGAAAATAGGGACACTTGGAGGGTGTGAGGGTGACGGCTGTGGGGAAGAAAGTGCCATCGCCCTGCACTGGTTTCATACTGGCAATAAGTCTGTACATTTTAAGCAATGGCTTCTTCCAATCTACTACCAAGCACAAGCCATGCCCAGTTATGAAATCCGTCTCACCATATTGCCATGTTGCAGGACGTGGGTGGAACTTGGCAGAGGAAGTGGGTGGGATTAATATGGACACCGGGGGGGTGGAAATAAAGTAACACCCAGCTCCGTCAAAGTTACCAATTATACCCAACAAGTTTCTGGAGCAGACTTGGTGGAACGCTTTGTCACAAGAGACTAGGGCCTTGTGGGACTTGACATCTTTTCACAGGGCCTGCAAGACAGAGCTATTCTGCCTGGCCTTTTGTTTGGACTCAGTCTGACCCTTATGTTTTCCCTCACCTTACGGTTTTGATCCATGGGCTACTTTTAAAATGAGGCTGCATTTTAAATTGCATTTTAACCTGTATATTAAATTGGATCCCGTCCCCCCATTATGTTTTTACTGTAATTTTACTGTTGTTAGCCGCCCTGAGCCCAGCTCTTGCCACGGAGGGCGGGGTATAAATAAAATTATTATTATTATTATTATTATTATTATTATTATTATTATTATTATGCCATGCTTCTTTTTCCTGCTCACAGGCAGTAGTAACAATAGATCATTTGCTCATGTGGGCTAGGTACAAGCAGCAGTAACAAAGAGATGTTCTGCTTACAAGTGACTACTTGCAAGAGATGCTTTGCAGATAATAAGCCACCAGTGAACTCAGATCATGCACCCTGTTTGTGTCTGTGATGCAAGCAGCACATTTAAAGCACGTTGCTTTGAAACCTGCAAACCGGGTGCCAGGAACTGTAGCTCTGTGAGGGGTAACCTACAGTTCCCAGAGTTCTTTGGGGGAAAGCTGTAACTGTTAAAGAGGTATAAATGTGGGGAGGAAGTATTTATTTTAATCAATGGTTTGCTCCAGCAGCTACAGTTAACATGAAAATTGAATGCAGGGATGTGGGATCTGTGCCCATCCCCACATGCTGCTAAGCTACACCTCCCACCACTGGCTCTGCTGGCTGTGGGGGATGAAGGTTGGATTCCAACAACATCCAGAGGACCAGAGATTTCCCTCCCCAGTTTACTTGCTAGGAAGGAATTTCTAAGCGACTTTTACTAGTTGCGTCGACAGGCGCGTGAGCATGCCTGCTCTAGAATACCTTAAGCTACACCCACATGATTCATCTGTCAGCTCGGTTACTCAATTTTGGGACGAAAAGATAACCTCCTGGAATCCAAGCTTCCCACTGAAACTGCCACATTCTGGATTAGCTGTAGTTTCCAAGTCACTATCAAAGGTAGCCCCACGTAGAGCGCATTACCGTCGTCCATGCAAGATAGCCTCTACAGCCACATCCCCAGGTAGAAGCCACAGCTGTGTTGATCCATTATTGTACTGGCTGATCTCCTACTTACTGAGCCAGGTTCAAGGTATTGGTATTCATTTCCAAAGCCCTGGAGAATTTGGGTCCAGGGTTACCTTAGGGAACCCCAAACCTTCATATCCCAGTTCCGTCATGGATATCATCTGCTGGGATGTCATTGGTTGCCCCCTGCGTTGAAAGTCTCATGATAACAGCAAGAAATAGAGTTTTAGTGGTATCACTCCACCTTCTGTTTTGACTTTCAAATGCTGGTTGAAAACCTTTCTAAGCCATCAGGCTTATGCCAGCAATTAAGAACACATCTTTCCATAATAGTTAGTTAGTTAGTTGATGGGCACTGAATTTAAATTTGCATGTGTTTTTATTACATATACAATGGTACCTTGGGTTAAGAACTTAATTTGTTCTGGAGGTCTGTTCTTAACCTGAAACTGTTCTTAACCTGAAGCACCACTTTAGCTAATGGGGCCTCCCGCTGCCGCTGCGCCACCACTGCGCGATTTCTGTTCTCATCCTGAAGCAAAGTTCTTAACCCGAGGTACTATTTCTGGGTTAGTGGAGTCTGTAACCTGAAGCATCTGTAACCTGAAGTGTCTGTAACCCGAGGTACCACTGTAGATATTATTGTAAACCTCTGTGATTTTTTTTTAAGATTTAGAGGAACATATGTGTATGTATACACACACATACACACACAAGCACACACAACAAAGAGCGGCAGTTTCCAACCTAATACTCAGTTAGGTTGCATGGTTTCCAAGGAGTAAGCTCAAGCTCTGCTGAACTCACTGCATAAATCAACTGTAAAACATACTGAGCTTTAAACATAAGGTCTCTTGGGGTGGGGGGGGGACTCTTTGTAATTGTGTCTATACATTGAAAATCCATAAAACTTCTTCTTAAAAAAAAAAAAAAAAGATTGCCACCCAGCTGAAATGCAACCTTTAGCTTTTAACAAGAAATGAAAACAATCTTGCAAAGAAGTGTTAGAATTTTAAATTGCTATCCTGAAGAAGGAACCCTATCAAAGAAAAGAAAGTACCTAGCCTCTGAATATTTCCCTCATTCTCTTTCCTCTATGCTATTATGTCACAGACAAATTTGAAAACATGAGCTCTGCTACTGAGCTACGGAACTTCCTCAAATTATTGGCTCCTCTTGTCAAAATAAAGATATAAGAAATAGAGTGGAGGCATGTGCTGCATATGCAAATGAACTCAATCTCAGAATAATCAGAACTTTGGGGGGGGGGGGGACCACTGCATGGACCAGCCCCAAAAGACAGCCTACTGTTTCTAAAGTCATCATCAAATTCCAACCAGAGGGAGGGAGAGAACTAGGAGGGACTGAAAGATGTCAAGGTGCATGTCCTATAAAGATGGAGGCAACTCTGGAGCATTCTCCTCTTCCTTTTTATAGGCTGACCACGACGAGGACAGTTTGCCAAACGAGAGCGGCCACTGGCCTGATGCAGCACCTCTAGTCTCATGTTCTTCTGATGAGGCTGGATTCTGTAGCGCTGACCTGTCCCTGCCCCAAGGAGCTTCACACGCAAATGCTGGCAAAAAAAATATGGGAGAAAGATGGGGGCTGGGAGAGAGAGAACATGCATCAAGCGGCAAGTTCTTAGGCAGAAGTTCTGCTGGACTCCAGCTCCCACCAGCCCCAGCAGACACTGCCAATGCTCAGGGGTGATTTCCTTCTTATTTACAACAGTATTTCTGTACCATTACTTCACACCATACAAAACCAGGGCCATTTGCAATGCTGAAACACAAATCACCATTTAAATACAGTGGTACCTCGGGTTACATACGCTTCAGGTTGAGGTTACAGACTCCGCTAACCCAGAAATAGTGCTTCAGGTTAATAACTTTGCTTCAGGATAAGAACAGAAATCGTGCTGCTGCGGCGCAGCAGTAGTGGGAGGCCCCATTAGCTAAAGTGGTGCTTCAGGTTAAGAACAGTTTCAGGTTAAGAACAGTTTCAGGTTAAGAACGGACCTCCGGAATGAATTAAGTACTTAACCCGAAGTACCACTGTAGTCAGTGCAAATAAAAATGCAGATATTTGGATTTGGACGCCTATGGCGTGTATGCTGCAGTCTTTAATTGTTCTTATTTTTTTCCTGGATGTTTTTTCAATAATGAAACACAGAACAAAATGAACAGCAGAAGCCTGGTCCATCAATACGATTTGTCCACATAAAATAAAAGCATCACGGCCAGTCAGCACAATGCAAAATATCAAATGGTGAAATCAAATATCAAATGGGCAGTGGTTTTGATAGCATTCCCTTGCTCTTACGGCATGAAAAGCTCCTCCCATTTTGAATGACAGTCACGGGATGTTACTGTCTGGTATTAAAACAATACTGTTTGCTTTAGAGGCACAGTTATAGCAGGAAACACACTTAAAACAGAATCATGCTTAAACGGAAGCATATCATATAAGCTCTCTCTCTCTCTCTCTCTCT